CATCCAAAAGTTTGCTGACTCTTTCACAATCACAATATTGACGTCACAATCGGCACGCTTCACATAAACAAGTTAAATCGTTTTCTCTGTGTCGGTTTCCATTATAAAGAATTGTTGGACGATCTGGCTCTCTCGGGCGCAAATCAACACCACGTATTTTTTTGAGCTATCTTTTCAATAAGGTAGCGCATTGTCTGCTCAATTGATTCTTGTTCGTAAATTGGTGGATTATAGTCCTGCTGACATAGACGACATTGTTGATCAAATAATTTCTATTTCATTTTTTCGTGTACTTTTATTATGTTGAAATCAAATACTTAAATGAATATGACCATATCATTGAGTTTCACAGTATGCGTACTAAAAACTAAGAAATACAAAAGAGATATCAAGTGAGAAAAAGCTGAGTAAACGGGACAGAACTCACTTTGCTCCGGTATATTTCCTTAGGATCTGTTGGTTGTTACTTGGAGAAACAGTAATGAACTGATCTTCACTTGGTTCAAACTACCAATGATGAAGAAAACGCATGTTATCATATTTATTGATATATTCTTGTTTCATCTGATAAAACGTATGAAGGAAAAATTGATCATGAGACATTGTAAAGAATCTATTTGAAGGGTTACGATACTTTGACTTTCGTTGCTGAAAATAATGAGGAAACTAATCAGCGTGTTTATCAGTGTTTTAATGTCTACGTTTAGAAATAATACTAAAAGGGTAAAAGTAACTGTGATAACAAAAGTTGAATGAGACACAAAAATACGAATCACTAAATGTGATAAGAGAAGTATGTCTATTCGTCAAAGGAGAAAAAGAAACATTGTTTTTCTTTGTCATTTTGATCGTCTCTCCTGATAAGAATCGAACAAGAACATTTTCACCATAAAAGTCAATTTTTCATCAAATAAAATGCAAAATCTGCTTACTTCATGAATTTCATGTACGAAATATAGAATGGTTAAAATAAAACTTACCATTTTTTTTCAATGTCCTGTTCTTCTCTTGAAATTCAGTTCACTTCATCTCTTCAGTTACAGACACAAATGATCTTTTATTGTCAACAAGGTGCGCAAAAAGTTAAAGATCTGTAGACAACTTGTTGTCTAGTTCATCATATTTTCCTATCTTTTCTGTTTTCTTATTTTTGCATCTACAATCTAATTTCTACCAATTGGGATTGTTCTTTCACTAGTTCTGCACAAAACGAACCATTAGCTTTGTTTCCACAAGAGAAAAACAAAGGGAATCGTTCCAAAAGTCTAATCTGACTTCAGAATTTTTCTACCTATTTTACTCTATTTAATTTCTATTTTTTCCAATCGACTGAAGCGTAGTCAGTGAACGGCTCAGTGTGAGGTTTTAATGTTTTTCTACAGTCAAGGAAATACGATAGCACGAGATTGAGGTTACTTCTAGAGCATTGTGTCTTCCAGAACATCAGGTGTTTTGATGTCTGCAGTCAAGAACAATAAATCTTGCAATTGGATATTTTAAGAGTTATATAGTATTTTTTTCTCGAAGTAAAAGGCATGGGTAAGTTTCTTAAGTTTGAATGATTTTCAAAAAAAAAACTTTGCCATTATTTTTTCTCAACATCTTATTTTAATTCTCAAAAATGATCGGTGATAATAAAAAATATGTATTATGAACAGAGTATTAGTAAAATACACTTCAACCCAATCTAATCCATTTCAGCCGCTGTTTAGCTCGAGGGTATTATCAATCGATAGAGCTTCGAATGCTACACTCACGAAATCTCACTTCAAAACGTTCTAACCCATCATCATCTAGATCTAAACGAGAAACTAATTTTTGACAAGAAAAAAAGTTATTGAAGTTATTCTTCGATATATCTGAACTTTTTCAACTTGTAATTACGTTTCATAATGTTCTTCGATGAGTTCTTCATTCTTTTTTCCCGGCACTATCTTCCTATGTATATGAATAAAGAAATGAATGTTATACATGCACTATGCAATGAGTCGTGTTTCTTTCTGTGTTATTTATATCAAATTGCTATATTTTTCAGCTATAACGATCTGTTACAGATATAGACAATACTTTTAAATCACTCACGGTGACATGAATATTGCTTTCTTATAATTCGTGAAAGGTTTCATTTCTTCATTTGTAGCAATGTAGTACTCCAACACAACTTTTATCGCTGTTTCTCTTATCAATATAAGTTTTGAACATTCTCCATTAACGGTAAAAAAATTAGCTCCTTTGGTCAAAGGATAACACAAATATTCAATTTTTTCTGCGATAAACGAGCTTTTGGACAACCTTTTAGTGGATCCCACCGGTAGGATCCGTCAGCGCGAAAGGGTTAAAACCGTTAGATCAGTTGAGTCCACGTCCGATAGAAAAATCGCACGAGGCCCGACAGTGATTCTACAAAAAAAAAGTGTTCTCACATCTATTAAACGATAACAATCGCACAGTGATGTGCAACAAACAGAGATAGATTTCCATCTATACTTTTGTACTAACAAGAGTGTGTGGGTGTGGATGTGGAAATTAGTCATCTGTTTATTCACATCCACACCCACCCTGAGTGGAAAAGAGAATACAAAAAAAGAAATTTAATATGATAGAAAACAATGTTATTAGTCGGAGACGATAAAAAAATCCAAGAGCTGAAGAAAAGAAAAACGTGAGTTTTCAATTTAGAGGAGATGATTGTGCCATAGTATGAAGCTTAATTACGAGAAAAAGAGATTGAACTAGCGAACAAACCTGATCATGTGATTTGCAGTTAGCCTCTTCCCTTTATTTAAGATATATATTGTTTAGTTTCATTTTTCTTTCCGTATCAAAGACTATTTCTATAATTAGTCATAAATAATATACTAAATTAGGATCCAATTATGAGATCAAAACAGAAATTTCGGATTGGATCGAGTTGAAAATAAAAATCAATATGATATTCCACATCAATGGGATTTCAAAATCATTTTGTGCATTTCATCAGGTTGTTAACATATACATATCCTTTTTCTTTCGATGTGATACTGGTTTTTCTGACCAATTTTGTAAAATAAGTAATACAACACTATGCAATCGAGCATCATTTCTAATGAATGATAATGATAATCAAATCAATCTGATATGACTTATCAATATACATCTTACGTTAATCTTAATATTTTATTGTATTCTTTTCGATTTTCAACCTGTTAACTTAGTTATAAATACGATATAATCTCACAAGGAAAAGCAGTAGTGTTTTCAAAATTTGGATTTCGATGTTTACGAATATCAAATCTAAATGGTAGTTCACCACAGTAACTATTTCATTCTATGAAATAAAATAGATCGTATTACGTTTCTTTTGTAGATTATTTGAATTTACACTTCGACTTAGTAATAGGAAGAGTGTGGGTACGGTTGTAGGTGTCAGTTGGTGGTTTATCCCGCACCCACTACCCACACCCTCGCCTACATCGTACAAAGATTCTTAGATGAAAAATTTTAAAATTTTTGTAAATTATTCTGTATAAGTAGCATATTTCGACAAAACGGTTAAAATAAGGTGAATGTATTTTTAATCGGAACCATATAAGAAAGAAAACGAAACTATGCCATAGCAGATAGTTTAACATCATTCGATTTCAAGAATAAAATCTAATGTGTTTCAACCATTCAGTTCTGATATTTGAAAGATAATGCTGGGTAACAGTCCAAATTGTTGTCTAGACTAGACCAATATTCCAACATCTGCATCATTTAATTCTTAGTAAAAGTTATTTCAAAAATAGTGATTTAATAATAAATGCCACGTAGAATTTTGTTTCATCAATAATTGACAACTATGAAAAAAACACGCCAGCTCAGCGCACAGAGAAAACAACAAAACTACTCGTCATGTATTTGATTGTTTTTTTCTCTTTTTTATTTTATTTCTACGTCACTTCACAAATGGTAAATGCATTTCATTTTTTCATTTCTATGGCAGAAAAGTGATCGTTGTTTTGCATGTGAGACACGCAGAAAAAATTTTCTACAATACAACAACATCACACATCGGACGCTATCAAAGAACAAAATTACAAGTAGGTATATAATTTCTATTGATGAATCAAGTATGAAATTTAAATTTGTGAACGATTCTAGAAAATACTGAACAAAGAAAATGCACGTTTTCATTCTGACATTACGTAAGATTTTTATAGCCGATATATGAGAACTTTGATTGATCATTGCGAAAAGTCTCATCTAATCAGGAGTATCGAAATTCATGTACACCTTTTTCAATTGAATAGTCTAATGCATCTACCAATTTTTTATCGAAACATATTGATTTGGTAGTTCAAATATGTATGAGAAAAACAATTCTATCAATTAGTTCGAAAATCGACATTCTAGAAAAAAAAAAAGACCGTTATCTTCTAGTTTTAGATCTGACATATGGGTACAATTGTGTCTCAAGGTCCTTCTCACAAACCATTGCCTACAGGAAACCAAAAATGGACTTGTTCATATTGCTCTGTTGACAATCCTAACTCTACCTATCCTATATGTTTTGTGTGTGCCCAAAAAGATTCGAAATCTGCCACGTCTCAGGCCAAAGTTTCATCAATAGCATCCTGGCGTTGTGATCTGTGCTCTTGCGACAATGAAGCTGCTTGTCAACAGTGCACTACTTGTGGCAAAAGGCGAGTCAAACTGGTAAAAGCCTATTCGGACAAGAAAATCTTCTTAGACTCAACTATTCGTTTTTTGTCTAGCACAAACGAGAACTCCATTCTGCCAATACAAGAATAATGTCCGCCATGAAACCCAAGTCGGTTTTTGTTCGTGATCGTCAGGAGATAGATGAAAGGAGTGCAGAAAAAATAGCTCGTGATGTAATCTTATTTTGTCGAAAGGTATGTAGAAATATAATCAAGATGTATCAACTATTATATGACTGATTGAAGAATAAAGTTCCTTTCGTGGATGATCAATTTCCACCTTCTGCTCGTTCCTTGGGTACATCGCAAACGAATCACATGACGCAATGGTTGCCACTTACTGAGATAGGACCGTCGACACATCTTGATGATCATCTACCGTGGACAATCTATAGTTCTCCAGAGCCCCACGATATTCATCAAGGTAAACTTGGCGATTGTTGGTTGATGGCTGCCTTGGCTCTGATCACTGAACGACCTCAAATGCTTCAACATATTCTTCTAACTAAAAATGTCAATCAAGAAGGAGTCTATGTTGTACGTATTTGTCACAATGGTATATGGAAGGCTGTGCTTCTCGATGAATGTTTTCCTTGTACAACAGACAACAGACTAGTTTATAGCCGAGCTGCACGTCGCCAATTGTATGTTCCATTGATTGAAAAAGCGTGTGCGAAACTTTTCGGTTCCTATGCAAGTTTGGAAGGAGGCTCGACGGCTGAAGGTCTTCAATTATTAACTGGAGCGCCGTGTGATCGCATCAATCTTCATCCATCAAATGAGATGTTAGATTTTGACATTATTTGGGCTAAACTTCTATCCGCTTGCGAATCAAAGTAAGTCAAAGTCATTATTTTTCTATTGAGTTTATTGATCAACCCTTCCTGAGACGAAGAATGAATAGACGCTATTGAATGAGTACAAAAAATTCATCACTGTGCTACTTCAATCACTTTCTTGTGAAGGAGTTTTACTGCTGACGTGACATATGTACAATGCACAATGTTGAATGAAAGATGCAGTTTCCTTGCACATAATCTTGATTCATTATTCACATAGCTATGAAAACCAAATCGCATAGAAGATTTTTGCTAAGCCTAACTGCTGCGTTGAAATAGTGTTTCTCATATCTAGACTCTTAATTGGTGCATCAACTGGTTGTTCAGAAACCAATCGATCCGAGTACAAACTCGTTGGACTGAATCCTAATCACGCATTCACTGTCTTGGTAGCTAAAGCATTGCCCGTCGGTGATGGCCGTTTTCTACTCGTGCGTGATCCACATGGAACTACGGATTATTCGGAAGCTTTGATCACACCATCTATTCGTACATACTTACATTCGATACATAATAAAATGGCGAATTCTTCCGGAACTTTCTGGATAACATGGTTAAGTTTCTTGCATTATTTCGATTCAATAACTATCTCAACATATGTCAGTAATCATTTTGATATTCGTGAAGAAGCGCAATTTACTCGATCGCCCATAGAATCGGTTCCTGCTTATTATTTTACTGTGTCAAAGTAAGTGAATAAGTTTTACTTCATTTAAACTTATCAAATTTGATCATCCCATAGGACATCATTGATCACTGTGAGTCTAGTGTATCATCGTCATAGCCGAAAAAATAATAATCGACATACGCAATCTTTCGTCCTCTGTGATGTAGAAGAAAAAACAAGCAACGTTGGAACAAAACAAGTGATTTTTGAAAGTCGTCGTGGAACATTAACCTATTGGAGTGGATCTTTGCGACCGGGTGCTTATGTTATTATTCCGTTCTCAGTCAGCTTCTGGAAAACAAGTAACGATAGAAAAGATGAAAGGACAACAAATTATACTTTAGTCATTCATTCGAATATTCGACTCGATGGTGTGTTACTCAATGAACCACCAACATTGCTGACAGATTGTCTCATTGCTGCAACGATCAAATATTGTAACCAGCCGAAAAAAGTTTGCTCTGTAATCTTTCTAATTCAGTGAAACATATGTTTTCTTTGTTTCTTAGACCCACTCTTCAGTCCTATATACTACACCACGTCGTTTCGATGCGAGCTTGATCGTTGTCGAAAATCAACTAATCAATCATTATCTCACTTTCAATATGACAATAACTGAAGGTGGCAGTATTTGTCATTCTCGTCACACTTTTCGCACTTCTGATTGTGTTCCACCACGTCATCGACAACTGATCTGCATACTTGAATGGGTTCATCAGCGAGATGAAGTGGCATATATGTCATATGTGACTTCTCAACAAGTCACCGAAGGATGGCACCATGCAATACCAGCTATTGCTATTGATCAAGGTGATTTACATTCACCACGACCTTTTTGAGTTCTCCTTCAAAGAATGAATCATCTAAATATCATCTCATAAGTTTTTTTGTTACGAATAAATAACATACTTTTGTGTGATGACTAAAACATAGTTAAATTAAACCGTAGAAGTTCGACTGAGTATTCGTTTTTTTATATTGAAAGACTGTTTGATGATATGACTTTTAGTTCTTGTCGAATGTTGCGAGTTTTGAAATCAAAAACAAAGACAAAATGATTAAACATTTCTTACTGTTTTAAGTCAATCATAGCTTCGAAGGAATTGAATTCTTATTGTGAAAAAATTATCTATATTCGAATTATATTTTAATTTTTTTTTTAATCAAAACGAACTGAAAAGTATGGTTTATCTTGAACAAAATTCCGTATTGATTTTCTTTGTAACAAATAAAATAATATTAATGTGAAAAAAAGATTTGGCTTTGGAATGAAAGACTAGTCGATCATTTATTGACAAATTATCTCGTTTTAGCATCACTATGATCTTGAAAGTCTTCATAAAAAATCAAATATTTAATACTTCAATTGACGTTTCTTTAAAACAAAAAAATCATTTGCTAATTCAATGTGTTCTGCACGGAAAATTATTTTGAGTATTTTTGTTGTCATACAGATTAGTCATTCGTTGTATATGGTATCCAAACCTAATTAAAAAGAACAAGAATCACTAGTGTAATTAGAAATCTTTTGTATTTTTCTGTTTTGTGTTTGCGGTGAAAATTCGTCATATTCCGATGAACATTGGTTCTGCTATAATATATATTAAATTGTTTATCTTTACAGGTGCTTTTAGCTGTCAATAAGTTTTATGCAAAGTCTGACGATATAAAGAAAAAGTTCTTGATGTAGAAGCTCTCTGGAAAGGTTTTTAACAATCTATGGGAGATGTATGAGATTGATTGGGTTTTTTAATCATTCACTAGTGAAATATTTTCTTCACTTATTGTTTTTTTAAAAACAAATTAAAGCGTTCAATTTTTCTTGTAGCAATGAAACATTGGTTTCCAATTGATGTAGACATATTTTATAGTAATGCTAATTATGCTCAACAGTTTTGACAATTGCATGAAGAAAACAGTTATGATACTAAAGGTCTTCATTTTCAGACTGTCAGTAGCACAAAACAATCTAAAAACAATTGAACAAATATTTGTATCAGTAAGCAATTTTTAGGTGGATTCTCAATGACGTCACATACGACATCAAAGGGCTTGTAATAGAAAAATTCGAGCTTTAAGTAATATTAATGTCATGGTAAGCGTTATTTTTATTTTTATTTTTATCTTTACGCTTAACATATTTTTATTTCATATTCAAAGGAATGGCAACAGATTATTGATAATACCACTCACAAATCCTGCAACATTAATATATCGGTTTTGATAAAGATCAATTTTGCTCTAAAAAAACAGACTAATCAAATTCATTGATTTTTTTACCATCATCCGTTGCTTTTCAATACAAATATCTGTGTCAATAAAGCTCGGTAAAAAAAAACTTACAAATAGCTATAGTATGGTCAGAATAAATCGTATATTCTTGTTTTTTATTTCTGCCTTGTAATAGTAGATAATAATGAACTGGAATGAATCAGCAAACCCATTCACAATTTATTCAAAAACATACTAGATGACATTTTAAGTATTATATATCAATTTAATATTTTATCAGATTCATTAGTTATTCTTAACACATTACATATTGGTTAGTCCACAACTTTCACATGAAACATGAGGTGTTGAATCATCGCTTATATATATACACACAAGATTGTTTTGATTCTCTGTTATCAGATTATCAAATATACGTCACCTGACTGAATAAATAGAGATATATATTTTTATCACAATATATTTATTCACACGCATCATTCTTTCAGCTTCAAAAAAGGTAAATAAAACAAAAGTTGTAAGATTCTTCATTACATTTCAGAGCTACTTTTAAAATTTACGAGTGAACAATGCGTCTACTTATCATTATTACACTAATCTTCTTCATATTGCTTCAAAATGTGAATAGTTCCGGTCGTTGTACCTGCACTTGTTGTCGTGGAGATCATTGTTCACCTGTAAAACAACGCTCTTTCATTGTCGAATTGTGTGAAACCGATGGCACATGTAATGCTGATTGCTGCCGACATTACCCACAAGTTTGTTTTCCATTACCTGGGCCGGGTTATATCAACTCAGTTTGTCGAAATTTGACGATTCATAATTGATAAATGAAAGTTATCTTCCACTTTAATAATGAAACTAAGGCGATTTTTGTTTTTCTTGATTTAAAAAATATTTTGATAAGCTGTCTAACAAAATTTGATTCATTGGCTGATTATTAATAAAAATAAATCTACAAATTATACAGGGTGTAAAAAGACCATTACGCCCCCCCTTCCAGACCTAAAGACCAAATAGTACCCCCAACAATTTTATACCAAATGAAAGCCCGCAAAAAGTTACGTCTAGTGGTATAGTCAGAACAAATATAGTTTGTAATATTATAACGATTCTAGGCTCAATACATCATTTTCACTTATATATCACAATCTCGAGTACGTCAAAAGCCGTTGTGCTCAACAGTAACTTAAGTTGTGAATCATTAATTATTCAGTTTATTGATAATATTGAATACTAAAAAATGCTTTTTCGAAAGTTTCAGAACTTCGTATGACCCCTATCAGCAGCCTTGAGAGCATCAAATCTTTTTCGCATCGAGCATAACAAGTCAATAAAAAGATCTGTATCATTTTCAAGATCTTTGAGCGTATTCTCCAAATTCGTTTTCAGTGCATCGTAATTGTATCTGCTACGACGATCTTCATTTGCCATTAGTTCCTCAACTTTATCTTTAATAATTGCACCAATATTTTCTGCAGGATTCATGTCAGGACTATTGCCTGGCCAAATTGAATTTCCCCAGAAATTCACATTCTCATCTTCTAAAAGATGTTGTGTTGCATTCGCTTTCATACAAGGTGCCTTGTCGTGAAGAAATATCACTTCGTTCGTATCGAGAACATTGGACGAATCACGAAGAAATGGGATCACCTGTTGTCGAAGGATAGTGTCACGAAAATAAGCGCCATCCCAAGACTGTCCATGTTCTTTTAGCACCCAAAGTAGTTTTTTTTGCAGTAAACATGACGAAAACCCCAATACATGTTGCATTTTAAACCATCTCTCGGTATCTTTCATCATCACTGATGTCTTCAATACTTCTTGCCCAAATTCGATCATTTTGATGGTTTGGTTTTCTTACAACATAAATGTAAAATTCATCCGAGGGTGCAACATGTAGAAAATCTTCTTCAGTCCAATCAGTAAGAAAATTTGCTAGCCACTTGCGATCTTCGATATGTGTATTTGTCTTCAGTGGCTTGGCAATCACATGGAAAGCTTTTAATCCTTGCCGATGGCGTTCATTGTAAATAGTCATGTGACTCACCCGCTGTTTTGTTTTCTCTAAAATCTCTCTTGCAACTTTTCGACAGCTACTGCTTTTGACACCACTTGCAGAAGAGATAATGTTTCTGCTCTCCTGATTAAGCACCTGGGGTCGACCACTGCCAAATTGTGTATAACATTCTTCGATAGATTTATTCCAATTTCGTCGTACCCAATCTTCACTGCGACGTGGCTTCTCGGAAATCCAAGGGCGAGTAATAATTGAGTCTCCTGTTCTTGCAATCAGTTCGTCACGTATTTCACGATATGTGACACATCGAATTCTGTCAACGAATCGTTGCTCTTCCGAATCATGAAGCAGATTAGCCATTTTGGTTTTTCAATTAATGTACCATAGAATTTTTTATTAACTAATCAGCAAATTGTTCAACGTCTAACGTGAATAAAAATTACTTGCGCGGACAACAGATACTCAGAAAGAAAATCAATGAAAAAAGTTGAAAATATTTCGACACTCGACCATTTTCTTTTCTGTATTCTCTTCTTATCTGTTCGTGCATAAATGTGCACATAACTTTCTTTTTTTCTGTTCCTTCTTCTCGTTATCAGTCATCAATAGTAAGGCTTTTGATAATTCACACTAAACATTACTCAACTCGCTCACGTGCTTTGTGATACTCAAATATAACATTAGAAAACGAAAATTTGGCAAAATACGTGACATATTGGTCTACGATATCGTACATTTAATAAAAAGTTGGAGCCATGAAAACTACGATCTATTAATACGTAATTCGAAAGTGAAGAAAGATAACTTGTATCATTTCAATTGATATGAGACTGTGATACATAAGTGAAAATGATGTATTGAGCCTAGAATCGTTATAATATTACAAACTATATTTGTTCTGACTATACCACTAGACGTAACTTTTTGCGGGCTTTCATTTGGTATAAAATTGTTGGGGGTATTATTTGGTCTTTAGGTCTGGAAGGGGGGGCGTAATGGTTTTTTACACCCTGTACATTTAATCTATAATCAACAACTTGAGAGTGGATGTGGGTGTGAATCGTCTCCTGATCCAACCACACTTCATACTATTATTCAAACTCATATCGGCACCCAAAACCTCATTTATTTATTAACTTATTATATTTATAGCGAGGAAGCCTGTAATAAGCTGCAACTTACAGTATATTGAGTGTTTCAAAATATTTCCACACTTTTTTATTCTGCAAACAGCTTTAGCAGTGAGCAACTGGGTAAGTCCTAGAAACTGTAATATTTTTGATAGTGTAAGGCCTCATTGAAATACTATTGAGATAGAATAATTCCTTCAAAGAAGCTGTCATAATTTCAATATCATCCATAAATTTATTTCATTTTATTTGATGTAGATACTATTCAAACATTAAAATCTAATTGTACAAAATTAGTCATACATGAGGATCATCAAAGAAAAGAAAATATTATTGACGATAATACATTTTATCAATCTTTGTATAGTATTCTGCTTATTTAGAAGAGCAATAGTCTTTCATATTAGAGCATTTCAGTATGAAACTTTAAAAAACTCCAAAAACCTATGATTGAATTATTTTGATAATGTATTCACTATTTTCAAATTATTCGTATAATTTTCATCACTTGATTTTATCATTCTTTATTGGAGAAGACAATCGACCCTTAGGCAATGATGTAATAAACATATTACGGTAAATTAACAAGCTGAAGCTATGACTGTTTTAATCGGATCAAATGTATGAAATATATAATACAAAATATTAGGCAAAGGTTCGAGAAATGTTAGCATTTTTAAATGAAAATAAATTGAATAATCATGCAATATGAACATACATGTTATAGGTATAATGATATGTAAGATATAATTTCTCAAAATGTCAGACATTTTATTTTGTCTATTTTCGCACAGTTTTTCTTGATTCCGTTTTAGTTTTAGTTGTTTTTGCACTGTTTTTTTTTAATCAGATTATATCTATTATCTTGTACATTATATGTCTTGAACATGAAATAAGATGCCTTCACAAAGTACCTCTAAAATGAAAAGTGATCTTCCAGTGTTTCAACAACCCTTCAATGGCTCAATTCAATGTGAAACTCTAAAAATGCCTACACAAATCCGTTTTCAATTTTCTCATAAGAAAATTTTCTTGAATCGCTATTTTACAGTGTAGGAGATATTATGGAACAAACCGTTTTCAAAGCACACTTAAGAGTCGATTCTTCTAATTAATCAGATCAAAGTACTATATTTTTAGAGCATGCGTTAAATGTTGAAGAAAATCCAGTAAATTCAAAAAAATCTTCATATAAGTCTTCACATAACAATCATTTGATACGAAACAAGTGTCTTATTGTTTTCGATAGAGACTTTTTCTTTTTGATGCACATTATTTCTTTCTTCGTTGATCATACTTTGAAATGTTTAGATAATGAGATAAATGATCATATGAACTGTCAAAAATAATGCACATTGTATCAATCAAACCCACAATAATAATACCTTGTTAGATAAAAAATAAGAAAGAAAGAAAAACATGTGATGATGGTGCAGAACTTTTTTTTTCTATGTGCATGGATATTTTATTGGCCCCAACCGAATCCGGGTTCAAAAATCTTGAACCCGAAGACTCTATACTCAACAATTTCCCACCATCCTTTTTAATGAAGCATCCCCATATTTATCCTCAGAAAAACCTTATACATGTGAGTTCGAACATGAATATGGGACGGTAGTTCACATTTTCTATTGAAATATATATTGGACTTGAAATACTGATGTAGAAAAATGGAGAAGGCTTAGATATCAGCATTCAAGACTTTCTTCTGTTTAGGTTTTGACACTGTTTCTGGCGGCGATCAGTATGCTAATTTAAGTGTATTATCATATCATTGGTACTGTACTGTATTATCAGTCAGTCCATCATCAGGGAACATTCCAATAAGAACAAGAGTATCATGTAATCCGCAAGGTGATTTCACGTTTCAAACGGTTCACAATGATATACAAAAAACAGGTGGTTCATCATTTTTAACAGAATTCGAGTTTGATCCAACAATTGACAGTGGCGCACAACAAAATTATTTTGTTATGAATAAATGTGATTAATATTTTCAATCATGGACTGTATGGGGTGCCAGTTTTAGTGATTCATCTGGTAATATATTATATAATATTTTATCACAATTTAATCGACCTTATGCTTATGCTATTGCTGGTACACCACATTTAATGTTCTATGATCGTAATCATACGCGTTGTTTTACATTAAAATATATAATTGACCTAACAATAAACTGTCCATTCGAAATGTATTTACCTGAAATGATTTATCCTAGACCAAATGGTTATAATATTACTTTAACATGTGGATTAGAGTCAACCGTTAATTTAGATGATTCGAATTTAATCGATATTTATTCAACAAATTTAACTTCCAATGGATGTATGCGAATCGTTAATATATGTCGATGTTAAACTCTCTCGCTATCATTTACATTGTTTATGTACTTTTTTTCGTAGTGAATAACACCACAAATGTTGTTCACTAAAACTTGAAAACTATTAGATAACTTATGTTCCCGTATATCTAAAACTCTCTATGATAGTTGAAATCTACTGTTGAATCCTCCAGACTGTAGCAGAGGTAACAGTCTAGAATGTCCTTTCGAAAATGTCCTTGGACAAAATGTCCTTTATTCTTTCGTCCTTACATATATATGTATGTGAGAGGACGAAAAAATAAAGGACATTTCGTCCGAGGACATTTTCGAAAGGACATTCTAGCATGTATTCGTAGCAGACATCTTGAATTCTTTTTATCATTCTTTAATAAACATACTGAAATACAGTTGGCATTATATCGTTCAGAATAAAAGCCAATTCATTGTGATTACAACTTGTCAAACTTATTTTGTGCAAAATAAGTCTACCGACTGAATCAATCAACAGTTCATGATTATAGTATCTTGACTAGATTTCATACATATGAAAATTTGTTCTTTTCTCTTTTCCGAACGAAAGAGTTTGAAATCTTTAATTGGTGTTTCACTTTGGAATTCGATTGGTCGCCTGGTGAGTATGGAGTGTTAGTCATAGTGGACAGTCATGCGACAAAATCGATTTTTGAGATTTGAGCCTATAGTATAGCTAGCACTGAAGTCACTCTCTGGTGCTGCATTTAAATGCATTCTGAATGCTGGTTTAGAGTGAGTGCCTGTTAATCAGCAAGTATCACATAGTACGTAAAATAGATGAATATAATTAATAGGACCATATAAGTAAAATGTATGTTTTAAATGGAGGATCTAGTTATATTCATTAGTTATTATATAGTTAAATAATGTTATATATCTACTGTACATCATAGGTCATTTGAACTTCTTGAAGTTCTTTAGGCTATAATAAGATCAAAGACTTACACTCACGAGGGAACATTCCCAGGTGTTGGAGCGCTTTTCAGTCGGCACTTAGTACATTTGGTAGATCTTAGTGAGCTATGTTTACCATAAAAAAGGTTTGTGTCCATGGCCTGTTTCTAAGGAGATCGAACGTTTTTAGATTTATAGCTAGATATTTCCAGTATATCTCAACGGCGTTGTACACAAATGATCTCCGATTTTGATGAAGTTTTCAGCATTTGTAGAACTTTTAATTTTGAGTATTTCGATAAAAAAAAATTTTCAAAACACTTTTGTTTTGATGGAGATACATTCAAAGTACTGTAAGTAATAAAAACCCAAAAACGCTCAAGAAAAACTTTCCTCAGAGTTTTGGGTTTTGTACTGCCTGCAGTATTTTGAGTGTATCTTCATTAAAATAAAAGCATTTTGAAACAATTTTTTTATCAAAATGCTCAGAGTTAAAAGCTCTATAAACACTGAAAACTTCATCAAAAACGGAGATCATTTGTGTACAACGCCGTTGAGATACACTGGAAATATCCAGCTATAAATCTAAAAACGTTCGATCTCCTTAGAAATAGTCAATGGGCACAAACCTTTTTTATGGTAAACATAGCTCACTAAAATCTACAAAATGTACTAAGTGCCGACTGGAAAGCGCTCCAATGCCTGGGAATGTTTCCTCGTTAGGTAATTTAATCATAGTGGATTAGTCAGTCTATTAGTTAGTTTTTGAAATCATAATGAACTGAAAAATCTTAGTGGGACTATGTTTGGGTGTGAATGTGGGTTTGGGATGTGGGGTGTAGTTTTGAGTGGTGTGGGTGTGGATGTGGGGTGTGGGGGTGGGGGTGCGGGTGGATGTGTGAGTGTGAGTGTGGGAGGATGTGGGAGTTGGTGGGGGTGTTGTGTGGATGTGCGTGATGAGTACTTTTCTTATCTACACGCACATTCACACTCACACCCCGATTGAAATCGATTAATTTCATGCGCTCTGTTGTAATTGCTTGAGCACGAATTGAAATGGTGTTTCTATTGTTTAGAAGTCTATGAAGAAAATTTTGGAAAATCCTGTACTGGTACTTTAAAGTTGATTCAATAAATGAAACCGATGCAATTCATCAAATGAACACCGATTTTGAACGGTACACGATGGCTAATCTCCGAGACGAATGATGCGAGGTCAACTCTATTAATGATGATTATTGTTTCCGATTCGAAAGAATTTGGTATTATTCTGCAAAGGAACTTATAGGGTACAATGAAAAACCAGCAGAAAAAGACGATGATGCTAATTATGCAAATAAAATTGGCAATAAAGAAATGCGTATCTCATTGTTAGAACGGTAGACTTGCACAATAATAATAATAATAATAATAGCGATAATACGTTGTCTGATCTGAAAGCTGAAATGTTGAGGAATCTCACATTGACAATAAATCAGAAAAGAGACATCGTTCGCTATACACTGATCGCATGAAAATAGTGTGGGTTTGGGCGTGTCGTTTGTCTTTACTCACGTCCATACCTTACGGCTACACTCACCTTTACACACCCACATCCTAAGAGAAAAGTTGATAAAAGTGTTCAGAAGCATTACAGTTGTCAGAAATAAAGAAACGTGGCTTTTCATGAATTATGAAAAAGCAATATTCATATCACCGCGAATAGGTTAATTATATTACGAGTTCGAATTTTACGTGCAAAACAGTATATTTCATTTTTCGCTTAAAACTTTGCCAAGAACTTCATCCAAAGTGCGTGTACCCTTTTCTCGGGTGACATTTCCATTTGTTGTCCAACAGATTGTATCATTATCGAAGCCTTGAACCATTTCTATCCAATTATCCACGGTTTCCTTTGGCCATCCAACTTTTCCAAAGAGTCCACGTATCATTTCTTCTGTCATCGCAACAGCATGAATATTTTTTCCTAAGGCCTTACTCACAATCTGAGCTACATCATTTGGACTATAAGGTTCCGGTCCTTCAAGTTCAACAATGACCATTCTATCGACTGCTTGAGCTGGCTTTGTCATGTATTCGGCAGCGACACGTCCAATATCATCCGTAGCAACTTGAGGAATTTTTCGTTCGAGTTTTTGAAGCATGGAGCCAAGCACAGGCGATTGTCCTAATTTCACTGCAGAAACTGACTTGAACCAATTCTCCATAAACCATGCACAACGAATTATTACAATCTGAGGAGCTGTACCCTTCAAAGTTTCTTCCAATATATGCGTAGTGAGAATGTTTCCGGTGCCCGAACTTTTCTCCGCACCAACTGAACTCAAAATGACGACGCGTGGCACTTGTGCCGCTTGGATTGCTGCAGCTAGCGCATTGCTGACTTTCATAGCAGCTGTATTCATGTCCGAGGTCTCGTAAACGGGAGGATTCATTGCAAAAACAGCTTTGGCTCCTTGAAACGCTTTGGTCAACGCGTCGGCGTTAGTCAAATCAGCAATCGCTACTTCAATATTTCGTGAAGTAAAATATTCCGATCTGCTTTCGGAACGAATCACAGCACGAACTGAGACTGATTGCGAAAGCAGGTAATTAACGACAGCAGAACCAACTTGACCGGTTGCAGCGGTGACAACATAGGACATGAATGATACTATGAAATAACAGAATCATTTGCGTTTTTTCTACTAAGCTGTATCTCATGCACTTACTTTTTTGTATGCTGCCTACTTACACGTTATATTTTTTCTCTCTGTCTGTGTAAAATGACTATATGCATCACACACGTCGTTATTTGCATTTGGTGCGTTCTCTCACTTGCCATCACATATATGATTACTATGTGCATAACATTTATTTGCCGCACCTAGATTGTTTCTTTTTCTGTTCTGTTTTTCTAATTCGATAGGCATCAATAATATTTGTAAATCAATCGAAAACAGATCGATCTATCTTCTGAAGGAAAAACAAATTCAATTTGCTAGTTTCAACTTCTGCTTTTCAGTAGTCGACTCTTGTTCGTACCAGTTGTAATTATATTTAGTGTACATTATAAAATAATCAAGAAAGTTGCATACAGAATAAATTCGCCGACGCTTTCATATTATTGATTGAAATAGAAACACTTATTAGAATTCTGTATTAGATTCTTTGAGCGCAGCCAAGAAAAACAAATCAGGAGAAAAAAATTTCATGAAACAAGAATAAAAAAGACAAAAATGAAGCATGAAACTATAAAACAAAGAAGAATTTTGACCTTGAAATGAAAAAAAAAAATCTTTTTTATTGAAGGAACTTCAATTGTTTGGATTTTTCATTAATTGGACTAGTGAATAGTGAATGCCATATGTGGGTGTATGTGAGAATAGGTAAAGGTGAGAAGAAGATACCCATACCTCAGATTCTTGATCTATAAATCTAAAATCAAAGTGGAGTTATATTAGCAGCATTAGTTTATCATAAAGAGGTAGCTGAGCCCTATTTTATACCGTTTAAATCTGATCATCCTTCACACGTTTTTACGAATATTATTGGTGTTGCTTTTCTAAGATCCGTACTTTATTCCTCCATATTATCAAGTACCATCACGTAAAACTTATACTATTTTACAACGAGTTACTATTCTTGTCTTTCACTCTTATTGCTACTCCTTATTGTTTAAAAAAGTTATCCATCAAAGTGCATACTTCGCCTATTTCTGAAATTCTTTTGAAAAAATATATCAATATAATCAATCTAACGATTGATTAATAATGAAAATGACTTTCTTGTTCTACGCCACTGTTTATGGAACAAGTCCACGATTTTTGAATAAAAGACATCTTCAGCAATAGCAAAAAATTGTTAACTTAAACACCAGTAAGCAAATGGCTAATAAATCTAACTTAAATCAAGTTGAAAATAAACCAGAATCAATTAACAATCTAAATATTCATAATAAAAACGAAACACGATTCCCATCTGTGAGATGGGACATGGATCAAATGTCGAACCACACCTTCCATACAACACTAATCTTGTATACAAAATTGATTGTCAGGTGAAGATGTGAATGAGGGTGTGGGTGTAAGTGGTAGTGTTTCCTGCTATTATACCCAGGCCCAAACCCATCCACACTCACAACCATACTTGTACGTGCCAACACCTACATCTACGCACACACCCTCTTTAAATATTCGTTTTTGATTTATGTAACTGATCTCTTCATCAAGGTCTTGATCATGGCCTCATGCATGTCTAGCTACGGTAATTTAAGAAATATTTTGAAAATAAATACAAGTTTCATGAAACTTCCTTCCAATATAGGTGTTTCTTTTCAACACTTTCAGTTCTCTGAACTGAACTTGAGAACTCTATTTTGGTTGTAAATTAAGTCGAATTTGTATTTTTCAACAAACGTCTATAAGAAGCAACCAATCATCAAGTGCAAAGAAAAAAATTAGGTTGTATTTTTAGATCATTTACTTGGAACAATTATAAATTTTTTTTCTATTTTAAGTATACATCCAAAATTTATATATTGATATCGAATATTTTCTTTCATGCTTTTGCATAAATTATACAGTATATTGACTAGATATATTACGCAGGAAACTATATAAAACAAGGCCAACACATTATATTCTCATTATGCATGTTTATTTCAATTAAAACTTATGCGTACAACTTCTCCACCTTTTTGACATTCTATTCTCCTTGAATAATGCTATATAAACGGTTCTTCTCACTTATATACCTCAATAAATTATGATACAAATTTGCTAAAGCTTTTTTTTGATTTTATACTCATTATCAACAATGTTCATTTTTGTTTTGATAATACTTCTTATAATTGATTCCATTCAATGTAAGCAAATCCTTTTAAAACTTATTGCATAATATGCTCGTTGCTTAGTGGTAACTGCACAAGACTGTGGTCCTAATGAAATCAAAGTTGATTGTGCTTCATCATCATCATGTCAACCATCTTGTAGAAAACCTAATGGAGTACTTTGTCCACGTATTTGTGATCTAAATTCATGTGTATGTAAGGATGGTTTTGTACGAGACGATGAGCATGATCTAGAATGCATTGAACAAACACAGTGCAATACAGGTAAGTCAATTGTTTGATTCAATATAGATGTACTAATGTTTTTTTCTTTCTATTATTAGATAACACTAGACTTTCATCACAATGTGGTCTAAATGAGGTAGCTATTGATTGTGCACCACTTCAGACATGTCAACCTTCATGTGATAATCCTGATGGAACTATATGCCCTCGTATTTGCAGTAGAAATCCATGCATATGCAAGGATGGTTTTATTCGTCATTCGAAGAATAATTTGACATGCATCGAGAAAACACAATGTGAAGAAGGTCGAGTAGCTTACTTTTTTTTCTTCTTGCGTGTGTATTTTAATTAAATGTCATTTTTCATAAAGGAAATGTAACGAAAGCTCCAATGTGTAGTGAGAATGAAGAATATAGCAATTGTACGAATCCATGTCAACCATCATGTGAAGAACCGAACCGAGAACCTTGCGAAACGTTACGTTGTTCAGAAGGTTGTGTATGTAGTCAAGATTATCTTCGTACTACAAATGATATGTCAAGTCCATGCATAAAATGTACGAATTAATATACTGAAACTTCTGATTTTCAATAAGAAATTTTTAATCATGCAATTGATTTTTCTTTTGTTTGTTTGTTTTTTTTTGTATTGTAAATTTTGATATTCAAGAAACATTTATACATCTGACATATAAGGTTCATATGACTCCTAGTTTAGGAGTTATGAACCGACCTTTTAGCGATCTTATAAATTAAGTTTGGATGGAGAAAAAATTGACATTCTTTGCTGCTATAGTCTTCTTTACTACATATGCTATACTACCGATTTTCTTTTTTTTTGCATAGAATTAACAATCAAATTGTTATCAATAAAGTGATATAAAAAATTAAGAATTTCAGAACAATTATTCAGAAATGATCGAACTTACTTTACAAGTTAGTTTTCAATAGAAATAGAAAATATTATCCGAATTGGCACGGTACCCATTACCCAAATACTCGTTGTTAACAAATGATTTAAGGATAACCAATCATTTATCTACCTTTCAATGAAAAAGTGTTTACTTTTTCATTCACTATATTTGAAATAATTCATAACTGAAATTTCTGAAGAGTCTTGGAAAACCTGAAAAATGAATGAACATTTTATGTAATTCCTTTTTGATCACCAGTTACAAAAAACACAACTGATTTCATAGTTTTCCTTTGTCATTCATAGCAATAAATTCAACCATTTTTGTATCGTATATTTTAATTTTTCTTTCTCAAATTTCATATTCAAAGTTCATATTTTGTGATGCGAAAATCTCGAGAACGGCACCTAGTCCGATTGTTGATATCTTTTTTGTTAACGAACAGAGCTGTCTAGCAAGCTACTAACATGCTATTTGTTATGATCGTGCAGGAAAAAAAATAAGACTGGAAAATATCAAAATTCTTTCTTTACTAAAGATTTGTATAAAGAGCACTAAATATCGATATTTATCATATTTAGATCAAACGCTTAGTGCAACAGAACATAATTTCCTAATGTGAACCGATTGAACTAAAGTGTTGTTTTCCATAATAATCTTAACGATTTTATAATTTGTACAGTGTTGACAACCAAAATTCGAAATGCTTTACATCCTTCTCGCATTCTTAGCTGAGTTCATATGCCATCTACTATAGTTTTATTAGTGATTTTTTTCTGAATAATAGTGACATCTAATGTTATCAGCGAAGCTTCTAGTCTTTTCTTCACGTTTCTTCCAATGAAGCAACACACTGATTCATTTTCTTTATACATTCATTCAATGGTAAAACGAAGGAATAATAACGTCATACATGCTACCATAGTTTCTTTTTCTATTTATTTCAGATAAAAATAAAATGTCTCATTTTTGCTATAATCGTGGTTGTCAAAAAAAATATACACCAACAAATGATCCATCAAAAGATGATAATGCTTGTCAATATCATCCTGGTTTACCATACTTTCATGATGCTTATAAAATATGGTCATGTTGTCAAAAGAAATCTCATGATTTTAGTGCATTTCTATCTATGCCAGGTTGTACACAGGGTCCTCATCAACCAACAAAACCTGAAGAACCAGTCGCTTCTCGTCCAACGGAACAAGAACAAGTAGTTACACCTAAACCTACTACTATTCGTCAAGAAATTCCAAAACCACAAGTACCTATTGTTGAACGACCACCAATGGATGCTCCATTAACTAAAATGAAATTAACAGTAGCAACAAGTTTACAAACAGCACTAGAAAAATTAGCTAATACTCCAAAAGTTGATCCGACTAAAAAAGAACAAATTAATGATGAAATAAAACCTGGTACTCCATGTAAACATGCAGCATGTGGAGTTCAATATACTACAGTTGATCAAGAACAAGCAATACCATGCAGATTTCATCCAGGTGTACCAATTTTCCATGAAGGTAACATACAAAAAAAACCAGCATTATTTTATTAATAAATAAAAACAAAAAAAATTAAATGTTGTGTTTTTCCTTTTAGGTATGAAATATTGGTCATGTTGTCAAAAGAAAACAACTGATTTCGAAGCTTTTACTGCTCAACCAGGTTGTACTGAAGGTGAACATTTATGGCGTGTTGAAAATCAAGCATCTCAAAATGAAGATGATCCACAAGTTCTTAAAACATCATGTCGTTATGATTTTCATCAACAAGGTCCATCTGTTGTTTTAAGTATTTATGCTAAAATGCCACGTCCAGATCAAACACAAATTGAATTAAATGCTGGTCGATTAAAAGTTGATACACGATTTGGTACAGATACACAAACAAAACGTTTCTCAAATGAATGGGAATTATTTGGATTAGTTGATGTTAATCAATCAACAGTAGAATTATTACAGAGTAAAATAGAAATAATTCTTAAAAAGGCTGAACCACTTAGTTGGTCACGATTAGATCGACCATTACAATTAAGCTAATTTTTTGACTATCTGATGTGATATGTTTTTTTATTTAAAGAAAAAGAGAATAAAAGAACGTTAGAAACTTTTAAACCAGAGAGAATAAAATGACATTTTTTTTTTCTTTTATTTAAACATATGGATATTAATAATCATCTAATATTGAACTTTATTTTATTAATTTAATAATTTCATGGAATTTGACTTGATCAATGACAACAAACGGAAATCTTATATAATAATAATTCAATTATTTTCTTTCCGACATGTACATAATCAACGAAAAATCATTTGAATCACAAGAAAAAGACAGATTCAATAACATTAAAATTTTCAAGTTGAAAAAAAAATTAGTTCTTCAAATATATAATTTTTTTTACAAAAAATACTATAAACAATAAATAGTTAACCATACACATTTCATGATATTCAAGATTTCGAAGAAAAAACATTATCATATTTGATACATACAAAATATTAATATCGGGTTCAAAATAAAAAAAGGATGAGTATTTTTAGAATAACTTTTGATAGGAACAAGATAGGGAGCTGCGGTTCTCACCGTTAGAAAGAGGCGATAAAACTGCATCGATTCGCATATTTCAGATTTTTTTCTGACAAGTATTTTAAGGGTTCCTCGACAAGTTTTCAAAAGACAAAGCGTTATATAATGTAAATATTATGGATTTTTATTTTTCAGGAGGACACTAGAATCATTAACTAAAGACCTATCAGCTATACAAGCCCGGCGTTATTATCTTTAGCTAATCATGAGTTATGAACACGTTAGTGTGTGTTGTCCGTCAATTTTTAACGAAAAAATCCTTTTTTCCTTAGTTTTTAATAAAAAATCAATTTCTTCTACGTCTAAAATCTTTGAGTTTTTAAAAAACTTCTTAGGAAGACCTTTAAAATACTTGTCAGAAAAAATCTGAAATATACGAATCAATGCATTCATCGCCTCTTTCCAACAGTGAGAACCGCAGCTCCGTATCTTGTTCCTATCAAAAGTTATTCTAAAAATACTCACCCTTTTTTTTTATTTTGAAACCGATATTAATATCGATTAAAACAAGAAATAGATGTTATTATTTTATTTTAAGTTTTGTCAAAATTAATCTTCTAACGAAATGTACAACATTAAGGATTATTTACAATGATAAAATCGTATGAATGAAAACAATAATTTTTTCTTTAAACATGAAAGAAATGAATTAATACAGTACAATTCAAAATTATGCGAATATGGCATTTTTGACTTTTTTTTCTATACTTCTCAACATTCATCTCTGAACTCAACTAGTAATTATATCAAGATTCCATGAATAAATTTTGAGAGTTAAGTTTTCAGAAGACATGAGAAGCAACTTGTTGTGAGAACTTCGCGTGACATAGTGCAAAATTTAAAAAACAAATGAAAATTGAGCGCGTTTCCTATGATCTCTCATAAAAAAAATTACAGACATCGCAAAAAGCGTTTTTAATTAATATTTTGATGCATTCCATCTTTCTTTGAAGCGTGTAATTTTTTAATGGAAGGTCATAAAAACGTTCTGAGCCTTATAGAATTTTGTACTCATTCACATGATATTCTCAAAAACAAAAAAAAAAGTATTTTTTATAAAGTCTTCTTGAATTTGAAAAAAAAAACTTAGTTTAGTTTTTAAAACATTTTATTCCTATCATCCATTTATAGAACCTTCATATATAATGAATCTGCAAAAGAACTTCATTGGCTATTAAAATTATTCTTGAGATTTGAGTTGCATGTTGAAAAGTGTAGAATAAAAAATATTATTTTCATAATTTTGAGCATCATTCTACATTGATTAACATACAAACTCATCATTGTTCAGCTACTTACGCTTAATAAAAAGATACTTCCGTTATATTCAGAACAATATATTACATAAAATGTTCTTATTGAAATTATTCTATATGATAGATCCAGTATAAAGTTACAGACTCTATCAAAGAGATTGACATTTCATTTATGGAATGTTCATTTGATATCATTATTGAAGTTAACAATCCGAAAATATGAAAATTTATTATTGCAACTAAAAAAAACAAGAGAAAAACCTATTGAGAATAAAGAACAGAAATGATTAATTACACAAGTTTTCAACTAGAGACAATATAGATTGCTCTATAAGAATAAATGTCGTAAACTATATTTCAATTTTGAAAGAGAACACAACGAGCGTAATAGAGACGACACTTATAATAAATAAACATTTTAATCAAATTAAGATTATTTCTATTGCCATTCGCTGGTCTATTCTATGCACTTATCGATTTTTTCTTATCGGCATACAACATTTGCATCGTCGTGCATGCATTATTTTCCAGAATCTAAGCATTCTATATGATTTTTTTTTTCAAGCATTCATCTAATCAAAGCGTAATGCGTGTTGTTGCTATCATTCTTTTATTATGGCATAAATCAGAAATGACTTGTATAATTTTTCATGCAGAAAAGTAATTTCTTTTTTACTAATTTCCTGAATGAAACAAGTTAACTTAGAATACCATTGTAACATTATAATCAACATAGACTGACGTATAGTGTTGCAATTTTCTTCAAAAATAATAAAATAAAGTTTGCAAAATATTCTCATACTGTGATTTTTGTCTTACAGGCACATCTAATTTATTTTTGTAACTTCATTCTTTTGTACTTGTATTCGTTTTTACGTTAATGTACTGTGTTAATCATGAATGGTATGAAGAATTTTCTTGTTTATATATATACTCTAATTGATTTATTATTAAGATGTTCGACGTCTATTTTCACTTTTACTTTGTGGTTGTTCAAGACAAAAACATAAAAAGCAAATTGCTCAAATTACTTTAGATGATCCTAGAAGAACTTTTATATATTCTGGTATTGATGCATTAAATATAACAAATTCAACACCTTTAATTATTGCTGATTTTGGTTCATCTCATGGACAAAATTCTATTCAAACTATGAAAATAATTATTGAATATCTTTCAACAACAAATAAACTTCGCGCATCTCCACTAATTATTCATAATGATCTTCCGACCAATGATTGGACACGACTTTTTCAATTACTTATTAATGATAATTCATATCGAGGTCTAGCAAATGGATGTTCTTTTTATGAAGAATGTCTTCCACGAAATTGTCTTTCCATTGGTTTTTCATCTGCATCACTTCATTTTCTATCAAAAAAACCTTGTAATATAAACAATCATTGTTATGTTCATTTTGCTAATGAAAATGAACGCGAAATATTCAAATATCAATCGAAAATTGATTTTAATTTATTTATTAAATATCGTTCTCAAGAACTTCAATCAGGTGGAGTGCTTATTCTTAATATTCCATGTGTTAATGAAAATGGAGAAATGGGTTTTAATTTTTATTTTGATTTAATTTATAAATGTGCTCAATCATTAACAAGTCTTACATCGCAAGAATTAAGAGATTTTACAATTCCATTTTATTTACGTTCATTATCTGAATGTATTGATTCAGAATTATTTAATCGATGTTCATTAACATTAATTAAAGATGAATTAGTTTGTTTAAAATCGCTTATCTTTGATCAATATCGACATGGACAAATAGGACTCGATTATTTTGCTAAATCTCTTACAATGTTAATGAGACCAGGAACTGATCTAGCATTTCAACAAGCATTGCAAACAAATCGACGATCAAGTCAAGATATTGAATATATATCAACACAACTTTGGTCTTTATTCGAAGAAAAAGTAAAAACTGAATTATATCTCGATGATATTAATACATATGCAACTTACTTAATTTTAAAGAAAAAATAAACAAGACTGATAAAAGTGTCTACTGATTAAAAATGAAGAAGTCCATGCAGATTAACATTAAAGACAAAAGAAAACTTACGATTTCAATTATATGTTAAATCTTGCTTTTTCTTCCTAATTGAAACATTATTATGCTTAATTAATAGTAAGAATACAAGTTCAAAATTATAAAAATGCATATGATAGATTATACTGGTGGTTGTAAGGTCGCTTCCTTCAAAAAATACACATATGTAAGATGTTTAGTTCGAAAGTTCATTAAGTGTCTCTAGAAGACCTTTTGATAAGACTTTAGTTAAACTTTTATTATTTTTTTTAAATTGGTTTTTATATAAAGTGTTGAACGTCGAACAAATTCCTTTTGTTTTTAGTGTTTTTTCTAGTGAACTATGTTTTTCGTATTCGATATATTTTGATTCATAAAACTTTTGTTCTATAAGATCTAATCTAATCTGATGATATTGATATTTGATCAAGTTTATTTGATTGAAATTATCGGCAGAGATTCTTATGCAGTTTGAAAAAGTGATTAGTACAGTGAACTGGTATGAATAATAGCTTCTATTAGATGACAAAACCTTGGATTATTCATATATAAAATAAAATTTAATTAAAGATCTATAGAAAAAAAAATGAGAATCAATTATGGATGAACCTTGAGCAAGTCAATATTTATAGTTTGAAAGTTAAATTTAGTGAATACAGAAAGATTTTTAAGATTTTCATAAACATGAAGAATCTCGTAGTTAAAATCATTAGATGAACAATTTTGTAATGATCCTTTACGTCTATCAATGATTGTTGTGGACGAACTAAAAAAAAAACAACAGGTATCGGAAATCATGATTATATAATAATCTTTATAATTATATCTTATTCATCATCATTATAAAATAAGTCTCGTGCATTTAATGCAGCAATAACGGCTTGATGAACTACTGATGGAATAGCTTCAGCAGTTGATGATCACGAATCAATAAAACAAATGAAATGTTAATAATTGTAAACCATTTCATGTAAAACCAATTTCATCCAGAAGAACATGATAATGGGACGGTCGATTAACGTCTTGATAAACATTATGTGAATTTCAATAGAAATTATTCTGATTAGAATGAACAATGGTCGTATCAACGGCAGCATCAATAGACATATTATTAGTTTCTTGAAGAGGTTCGTTCGATGTTGGAAATTTTTATCACTTGATTGTTTTGGATTTGAATTATAAATGAAAAAATGTGTGCTATGACATCTTTTGACAACAATAAACGTCAAACAATGATGTTTAGCTTCATTACCATAGATTTCTAATAGAAAAATAATTTTAAATTTAGTATTAAAAAAAAAATAAAAATCTAAATAACTTACGATTAAAAACTTGACGAATTACTGGTAATTCATAATGACGGATCATTTAGAAATGTCCGTTATCAACTCCTAAATAAGAAGCTTCTTAGAAATTTGGCAACGAAAAAGAATTTAATGTTTACTATTTTAATAAAAACTTATTTTACTTAGTAAAAGTTGATTTATTTGCTTGTTATACTCTAATACTTATTCTACTATTTCTGTCATACCAAGAATTATTTCAATCGAATATTTTTCTTCTTTTGGATATAGTTTACAAATACGTACAGCTATTCTTGAATATGATATATCGTCAGAGCCACTACTGTTAAAATCAATTTTATTCTTTTTTTTTTATTGTCAATGCTATATCCAAATTAACTATTGTATAGATAGTACTGCTTTTAAAATTAATTTTTCGAACTAAATTTTCACAATAATTTTTAAGTAGTTTCTCATTCTTGGAAATTTTTGATAATCGAACACTTTGAATTATTATGTCTAAAAATTAAAAATTAACATTTATAAATTAATTCAAATAAATTAAACTAATTTATCATATATAATTGTACGACATCGTTTAATATTAAATTTAAGTTGTGTAAGATCATCTTGATACTTTGTATTCATAATACAAACTAGAACTTCATAGTTTTGTTTCTTTATTGAATGAAAATATTCATCAATCTTTTTTGATATCATGAACAATTGCATCTCTAGTCAATTCTTTATGTTCTACATTGATATTTAAACTATTCATAATCTAGAGAAAAACTACAAATGTTTGTTGTTGTATTTTTTTCTTATTCAATCAAATAAAGAAAACTTGCGTCCATAAGTAGAAGAAAATCTATCTATGAAATATTATTTCGTATATGATTTATATCAAAAGAAGTGGTAGCTAATTTTGAAATTGGTTTCGGTTCAAGTAGGCATTCATTTAGATTAATACGTTCGTTAATAATACGAGTTTGTTTGTTGTAATCTGATTGAAATTTTGGTTGAAGCAAAATTCGAGCATCCAATGCCAATATTTCCTTAGTAACTATTTTACAATCAACAGTACGACAAAGTTGATTTGAAGCTGATTTATAATTACATTTATTAAGTGTATCTATAATTGCATTATAACATTTTTCGGGTGTAGAAATATGTTTTTCATGTGTTTGTGTTTCAGGCTTCTATCAAAAAAAAATGAATAAATTTATTAATAAATATCGTCATTGAAAAACTTACTGGTTCATTTGGATTATTTTATGCATATGCTTCAATGCATGGAAAATTCGTTCAGATTAAAATAATATTTTTCTTTTGAAAATATTCAATTAATAGACTAGCCGATTGAAAAAATATTTTAGATCGTCGATGATCAAATTGTCCAAATTTCTAAGCTTGTGTTCAATTCGATTGTTGCATTACAACAAGACAATTTAGTAATATTTCATGTAATTTTTTATACCCATTATCCACTGGAATTCGTTGTTCACCAATTTGTTTATAGATCAAAATTAAACAGAGGTATTGAAGAATAAAATTTTGTTAATCTAGTTTGAATATTCAATATTCAATAATTCGAGGAAAGATTAAGTACTGGTATAAAATCATGTCGTTTTTTAAAACATTATCAAAATTTTTCTGATGCTTCATTCAAAAAATAATATTTATTATTAACAATTGAATTCGATCTTGAATGGATCTTTTTAAAAGTGTTTCTAGAATACGGATTGCATCATCATATGGATACGTTAAATGGTGATATGATAAGAGAACATCGTGAACGACCTTTGTCTTCAAACTAATCAGCATATTTTGGATCAAGCTCTTCTATTGTTACATCATATTGATGAAATGAAATATCATTAGCAAATGAACAGATAGGGGGGATTTGTATAAATAGATGTTGTTCGATTCAATCTAATGAACCAATAGGATTAGAACGAAAAGAAATGACAGATCAATTTGAAATCTGTCTTTAAGATTGAATATGATTGAGTCCTATGATAAATATTTTTGCTTTTGAAAAGTATTTGATATAGTGAAATAAAAATGACCTTTAAAAAAAACTGTATTCAAAAATGAAGTTCCAAGAGTCAATCATTATAAATGAATGTCTAAAACTTGTATTTGGAAATAATTTTCTGTCGAAAGCCTAAGAATCTATTGAAGGTATTCTTCACAAGAAAAGAATTAATTATTTCCTTGGGTAACGATAAAAAACAAAAGTCGAATTTAATTACAATGCGTAAAACTCTCTGTTTAGTACAAGAAATAGGTTAACTTATCAAGCTTTGTATATTGCATGTATTATTATTAAAAACGTCAAGTAATGTTGATAATTAACTCCTCTTATATAGATGAGCCTTTGAGCATTTTTCCACAAACGATAAACGTATTTTTGCATGCCTTTCTATAATCCCATACTGGGTAAACTTTTTTGTCAATATAATAACATTGACGTGAGTGTAGAAAAAGAAGAATATCTCGGTTGATATTGACTCAAGTATTCCAATAATACCAATTTATATTGACAGCGACATGTTGTTGATGTTGTATTAGACATTGAGAAATCTAACAGATTATTTTTTATGCATTTCATCATTCAAGAGAAAAAGGATTTCTTTACAGTTGTCGTAATATTAATTATGTTTATTGCATACCAGGTTACTAAATAAATATAGATAAAAAAAACCTCAATATGAAATTCTTTTTACGCTTATACTTTAAGATAGATGAAATAAAATTTGTTTTTCAAAATAGAAGTCATGAGTTTTACTTTTACTTGTGTATTTCAATATTAAAATAAAATAAAAATGCCAGACTGTTTATTCATTAAGAAAAATCAACAGATCCTTTGGCGACGAGAAACGTATACATACGTTTTGAGCTTTTGCGAAGATCTCAATTTGTACAGCCGTCTATCTTCACTAGGGCATAACAGTATTCTCTTTTTTCCTTAATTTGTTAGTATCACACTTTATCATCGCGTAATAAAATTATGCATGTTTATAAAGAAAAAACAAGGGATTTTGGATTCAGAAATACTCGAGAATCTATAGAGCTTTGTTTTTCTTCAAATTATCTAAAAGTGATTTATGATCTTATAAAAATGGTACTTTATTTGATTCTGGAGACATCATAATTACACCGAGATGCATCTTTACAACTGTCCTATTTATTATAAATATATGAACCGATTATATAATGCTTATGTCTTGTAACACATTAAAATCAATACAACAAAATTTGTTGTTTTTCTTGTT